ACTTAACGGCTCAAATTGACAGAAGGACTAACGGAGTGCATTTCGTATAGTTGAGGGATCAAAAAAGTGCAAAAAATTGTTGAGGGATCAAAAATGTGCATTTCTTAAAGTTAAGGGACCAAATTTAGCATTTAACCTAATTAAATTCTTTAAGTTGTTGCATCATCTTGATTTGTACTAGTTTGCATATAGAAGTCTTTGCAACTTCAGCAGAATGCATGGTTTTAGATGATTGGGATTGGAATAATGTATATCGTTCTATTATTTTTGGGTTGTTTTATGGTGGTTAGTATTTTAGCATTTTGTTTTCATCTTAGAAAATAAAAGTAAAATTTCATTGAAATAGTTATGGATTACCTTTTCCTCTTGCATTTTCCAAACCTTCTCCAAAAAGGGGGGTTCTTCTGGAGCCGCAAGCATTGCATTGGTTGCTCTTCTGGGTGGAGTCTCTTATCTGCTTTCTCAAGGAATTGATATTAGGCCCAATTTTGCTGCCATACTGGGCTAGCCTTTTTAGACTCTTATCTTCCCTGGGGGTATGTATTTAGCTTTAATCTCAAGTTACTGGCCTCTGTCTAGGCGTCAGATTCTAGTTCATGAAGCAGGCCACCTCCTTGTTGGCATGTAATAATTGCATGGTTCACTTTACTGTTATTATGGTTTTTTTTTTTTTTTTAATACAAAATCTGAAATATGAATCCTCGCATTTGGATACTTTTTGCATGGTCATTTCTGCATGTTTAGCTGTAGCCATAATGCTGATGTTCTGTGTCTTCTGGTTCTTCCATAATGATCTTGACATAATCACATTGGCTTACGAGCATAACTAATGTTCTTTTGCTAATTTATTTGCAGCGTACCTTATGGATTGCCCAATTCGTGGGGTGATTTTAGATCCAATTGCTGCAATGGAGATGGGCATCCAAGGACAGGTACTCAATTTGATTTTTATTTTTTTTAAATAAAATTTTCTCTAATTGTTTTTGTAAAGTAAATCAAGCTGCATGCTGTATGCTGTTTGATTCTTAAGCAATATAATCTCTTGTGGACACCTTTAGTTATAGAAGTTTGTATGATCAATTAGGAAAAACTAATTCAAATCAACATAACACTCAAGAAATAATCTTGAGAAACATGCAAAAGAAAAGAAAATAACATAAATTGAGCTAGAGATGATGCTCAGATTTTTTGTCATTGATTTTCCATACATTTTTCATCAATTCTGGTCTGTTTTTGTGCAAAATAACACCAGGCACATACTGTGTTCACCTAATATATTTGAATAGTGATATAAACCCATAAAGCAAGGAGAATGATACATGGATACAATTAAAGCCAAACCATACATTTAGGTGAAATGCTTAACATCAAAGATACGTGAAGATTACACTGGAAACTCAACAAAGAAACTTCTCAGCAACATAATTGAAACTAAACTGGACATGAACAGTGCACGTGAACAGTAACCTTGCTGCACTGTTCCATTTATCTTCAACAAATTTATAAATGCCCAGCTCAGCACTTTTCTACAGGCTGGAACTCAGTTTTGGGATAAAAAAATGAGTAATGAGCTTGCTGAGGGACAATTGAGTGGCTCTGCCTTTGACAGGTCGGTATTGTGAGATGGTGTCTGATGTTTAATGCTACCTAAAGATTTAGATATTCTTACCTTAGATGCAAATTTAGTGCCCAAATTATATTTATTTGATTTACTATATGAAAAATTGGTCAATTTCCTTGTTTCTTTACGGCTTGTTATTCATCATGTCTCTGACGATTAGTTTTTGGAAATGCTGACTTCAAACTCTAAGAAAATTTCCCAACCTAAATTCCTGTTTCTAATTCTCATTCTTTCTAGTTCTTCCCTTTTTTTTTTTTTTTTTTTTCCTTTTTTTTTTCTCTTTTTCTACATCTTCTTCTATTACTCTCAATCTGTTTGTTCTTTGTTTGTGCTGCATCAGGTCATAAGGTCTATAGTTCCATTAGTTTCTAATTATGATCACTGATATTCCAGGTGGAATAAGTCTGTCTAAACTGGAGTTAAAATAAACTATTCTTCTAGGCACCCTGCAGAAGTGCAGAGCATGTTCTTCTCTTTTAAGGCTGTTTGTAAATACGTCATTGGCAAAAATGCATATCAAGAGTATTATTCTATTATTATTGATTGTACTGATGCATAATTATATGATCAGGTACTGCATGGTGCTTTTTGCTGCTATTGCTCCTGAGGCTCCAGTTTATGGTGAGGCAGAGGGTGGGGAGAATGACGAAAACATGTTTCGCCAGCATCTGTGTCCTTCTGCAACCCCTATTGTCCGTAGCTCAGGTACGTCTGCAACAATTTATTTTCATGCAATTACTTCATTAATAGGTACTAATTATTCTCTCCTAGAGAGAGAAAAAAGATGCTAATTATTGGTTTTCATTACCTTGAGAAGATGTCAAATCAAGCAAGGTGGTCTGTTCTACAGTCTTTCAACCTGCTTAAATGGCACAGGCACACTCATTGAGCTGTTGTCACAGCTTTGTAAAGTGGTGGTAGTCTTGGTATTGTAATTAGGAGAATCGAGGAAGCCATGTCTTCTGGCAGATGATGTGCAGAAAGTACATAAACAGGCTGCTTTCTGTGGTCCAATGGTGCTCAAGAGGTAAATGTTCCACATGCACTTATAGGAAGCCCTAAATAACCAGCATTTCTCCATTGTCTGTGCTTGTATAGCTTGACATGGTCAACTGAAGACATGGAAGTTCTGAAGCATTACTCTGATTATTGTTCTCTACTCTATTTCTGTACTAAATACTAATTGCATCTGTCATCAATTGTCAGAAAGATTTTCCTCAACTGATAGGTTTCTTATAAGGAGAATGAATGACAAACTGGGTGGAGGGCACAAGGAGGAAGTAACAAATTTTGGTATTCAGCTGACCATTTTTGATATGTGTAGTCTAAAGAAATGGTTCCTCTTGGCATCTTTGCTGCATTTAGACCGCAAATGTGAGCGAAGGCCTCAAGTTCTCATCTTTCTGTAAACATTTTAAGATCAGAGTGCTATTTTTTCCACTACTGACTTGGTTTTGAGC